AAAGAATAATTGTTTTTATTAATGATAGAAATAAAATACAAATTCAAAACCAATCCAAAAATGGAGTTGTTTTCCTATTTGGTGGTGAGTCAACAATTCAACCTTTTGGGTCAAATGTGTCAACCCTTGATAATAAAATTAAAAAAAGATGAAAACACACAAAAGTATAAAAAATGTAAATTTTTTTGTAGAAAATATTTGGGCACATCTCTAATATCATATTTTCATCATATTAATCAAGAATAAGTGTGACCAATAATAATAATAATTTATATATATATATATATATATAAAAAAATGTAGAAATTTTGAAAACACCATTTACTATCATCATCATCATGCACACACTTACTATCAATTAATAAAGGCTAATACATATTACATATTCCTAGAGTCACCAAAAACAAATTTGAAATATGAAATTACTTAATTAAAATTTCCAAACCACTAACATTATTGTTGACTAGTAAATAGTCCTATAAATGCTCGTGAAACTTCAACCACGATAACTCCTAACTACCAGRCTATCACCCATACTAATTTATGTGTTAGTATATAAACATGCATTTACTCATCAATCAAACCAAAATTTGCCACTTGTTATTTGTGACCTGAAATTTCTATGGTCTCATACAAACATGGTGGTTTGATCATAAGACTGATAACTAATTAGTAGACATTTAATGTCGCTTTGAACACAATACCCACATTTCCACMACTTTAGGTGAAGTAAAACTGYTTTCAGTTATGACTTCAAATTTCCAACTTTATAAATGGGGGAGCTCCATTGCACTCTTCCATACCCCAGTGAAGTTGAAATCTTTATACTTGCAAAACCTCCATTAATTGCTAATACTAACGCCAACCACTCTATTTCTATAACCATGTGGCGTAGATATGTAATATTTGGGTTATTAGTTTTGGCCTCATTTTTCTGTACAGAAGCCATTGCTGGGTCCAGATCTCATCACCAAGCGCAAGCAGTCCTTGACACAGATGGTAACCARCTCCAAGTTGAAAGAGAATACTACATCGTTTCAGCCATTCGASGAGGTGGTGGTGGTGGGGTAACTATCGGTAAAAGAGAAAGTTCAAGTTCACGCACACCCACTGTGAGACAACACTCCTAYGACATGAACTTGGGTAGCCCTGTTACTTTCACTCCGRYATCTAATTCTGCCGAAGAGATGCTTATTTGGGAAGAATTCGACGGAGTTCAGTACCTTAAAGAGATGTCATCGGAAGAAAATAGGATTGAGGAGCAGGTCGATCTGAATATTGGGTTCTCAGGACTAAAGAGAGTATGGCAAGTGGAGGAGGCAAACAGTGAAACATCATCGGCATCATCTAGCCAAACAACAAGGTACGTGACCCTTAAAGGGCAGCCAGGTCATCCAGGATCCTCCACAGTGAGGAATTGGTTCAAGATAGAAAGGATTAGCAGGTCAAACCCCGAGTACCGAATCACCTATTGTCCTAGCGTATGCGAGTCTTGCCATGTTGAGTGTGGGAATGTGGGGATTACAGAGGAGAATAGGAAGAGGTGGCTTTCAGTGTCACAACTTAGAGAGTTCCCATTTGTGTTTGTGAGGGCGAGGCACTCCAAGGATCAATAAAAAAGCTCAGAATGGGTAGAGAACTACAATCAAATAAAATCAACTTGGTGTGTGCTCTACTTGCTTGGGCTTATTGCATTTTTGTAAATTTTTTTTTTAATGTTATTGGGGACTCGGGGCCTTTAGTGCTTTTGATTCATTATTGTCTAGCAAGAATGTCCAACTTCCATTATATATTGGAATAATTTCATAGCAATTGAGTTTGTTTCCTTCTTCTCCCCATATTCTAGATTACGAAATGAGACTATTATTTCCGAGTTAAAACCAAGTTTGATATAAGATTCATTGCTTCTTTCCTTCCCTAACCAGTCCAACTTGTGATAGGCAAATAATTAATATTAATAAATGATAAGAAAAATAAATGTCACAAAAAACGATTATGATTGATTTTATTAATGATAGAAATAAAATACAATTTTTAAAAACAACATTTTGGGTCAAATGTATCAATCCTTAATGTCAAATAATTAAACAATAATAATAATAATAATTAAAAAGACGAAAACACATAAATGTATAAAATTACAAAAAGAAGATTWGTAAAAAACATTTGAACATGTATATTCATCTTATTAAACAAAAGTAAATGTAACAAATAAGAATAATTTTTACGGACATAAAAATTTTGGAAACATTATTTACCATCATCATCATAAAATATTGCYATGTGCAAATTCATATGCACAATTACTACTATAGGCATTTTATATAGCTTTATGCACAATCACATATATATTTTTTTTTATTTATCACAAAACCTTGAAAATCCCATTCTAAATCTAAAATTTCTTTTGTAAGAATCTAACATTTGATTCATGGAACTACGAGCTAGTTTTTAATTTTTTGAAAAAATTGCATGATAGTACCCTATACTTTGAGCCTAGTCTCACTTTGGTCCCAAGCTTAAAAATGTACCAATCCAATACCTAAACTTCCAAAACGTGCCAATTTAATCCCTACTATTAGTAGTTCGTAGTAATCTCTATCGGGAGCAGATTAACTGGAGACAAAAACATACACACTCGACTGAACTAACTATCATGGTTGAATATGCCGATGTTCAATACAGCTGAATCCTAGATGGGGCCCACAGTGAGCATTGGTTGTTCAATCATGATAGGTATTTCAGCCGGGGGTGTATGATTTTGTCTCCAGCTCATCTTGACTTATCTCTACCACATGATGACATGTATAACTTAAAAAAATTACCTTTGAAATAAGACATTATTCATTTTCTTCCTCACGAATCAACATTCAACCAAAGCAAAGAGTCAAAACCAAACCCAAACCCAAATAGGGAGGGAAGAGTTTGGGAGAATTGTTGGTGGAATCAAACTTCCAACATAGCATTATTTCTATCTTCTAAATTTTGATAGTCTCCTTCCTATTCTATCTTCTCCGTTACATTTCACATTTTCTCTCTTTTTTTTCTTCGTTTTTCTTCTTCTTCTGTGTTTGCTGCAATTTTCCTTCTAAAGTTGGATGTTGATCGGAGTCTAGCTACCATTTGTTTAACGCTTAATGAGTTCATCGGGGTTTCCCACTTGCATTCTTCTACCTATTTGGATGCAGGTGGGACACCCCGATGARCTTGGAAAGATTGTTTGCGCTATCTACTTTTTGATGGCCAAAGCGAAGAGGGAAAATGATGTGGAGATGCATGAGGGCAGCAGTACTATGGGTACTATGGGAGGAAAGAAATCGGAGATTATTTAAAGATAAGGAAAGATGCAAGGTAGAAATGATAGAAAGTATTATGATGAAGGTGATCTCATGGGTGAAAACACTGAACTTATTTTCAAATTTTACAGTGGATGATATGATTAGGAATTGGAGGCTAGTTTCTTTCTCTTCCTCGGCAAAAAAGAAGATCCTGAAGGAGTGGGTGCCCCCTGAATCAGGCTTTGTCAAATTAAACTTTAATGGCAACAGTTTCGGAAACCCAAGAAGATCTGGAACCGGAGGGGTTATAAGAAATGAAAGAGGAAATGTGTTGGGGCTGTATTCAGGTYCCATTGGAATTGGAAATTCTATTACAGCTGAACTGAAGGCAATGGTATATGGGATACAAAAAGCTAAGGAGATGCGGGTGGAAAGGTTGGTTGTGGAAGGGGATTCCAAAGTTATCATCAGTTGGCTAAAATAACATTGACAGTACACCCTGGTTATTCAGAAATGACATCAAGAAAATTAAAAATCTATCAAGTACATGCAACTTTCAATTCAGTGGATCATAGAAGAAAATGGACTTGCAGCCCAACTAGCCAAACAAAGAGTGAACAGGGATCAATGTTTCTGGGCTCAACTGTAAGAGTGAAAAGTAAATTTATAGTGGCGTAGCCGAGGCTACTCATAAACTATAACCCCTGTAATTTCTTTAAATTAATGGAATTTCTTTTTACTGATMAAAAAAAAATTTTCTTTTCCTGGTGCATGTATACATCTTAAATCATACCTCAAGCGGGTGACGAGGTGGTGGAGGAAGACTGAGATATCGACTGCACCAAGCTCATACCCAGGACAAAGACGTGACGTGGGCCTCCGCCGAATGGCATAAACAAATTCCCCATTCCTATTGCTACTCCCCCCGTATTACTTGTTTCAATTATATTTTCAAGTTACAACGCCTCTCTCATTATTTCATTAAAATAAATAAGTGAATGAATTTATGAATTCAACAGAGAGAGATGGGAGCCTGCTGCCATCTCCAGGGATTAAAGGTTCGAGCTTTTTTTTTTCTTTCCAAGAAAATCCAGGGCATGACATCTACTAAACTAAATCAAGAGTAACAGAAATGAGATTCAATAGAGTACCGAAACCACATAACAAAAAACGGGAAGCACCCGACCTCAAGAAAATCGAAGAGCCTTGAGTATACCCTCTACGCTACTGACTGTGAATGATTCACCCTCCTCTAAATTCAAAACTTTAATAACCCCATCTTCTGCAAGGTAGGTAGTTATTAATGTGCAAGGCAGGTAGTTAATGGTGACCTAATTGGATGATTGATAAAGACATTCAAAGACATCCTTTCACATATCACTTAACAGTTTTGAAGTTAAAGTATGTACTAATGTGCAAGGCAGGTAGTTATTAATAAATAATAATGAAGTTATACCAGGAATCAAGATAATGTTGATTAAGTATTAAAGCCTTAAAGGCATGCTGCTTGGTAACACAATCCCACCTTTGGTTGGCATTGGACTGTGGCAAGATAAAGGTGACCTAATAATGTTTTGCCTTGGCCAGATGAGCTGATGAAGCTTGGCGGGATACTTGAATGGCTGGACCAAAACCACAGAGCTTATGGGAATGGGATGGTTATTAGTCAAAATCTATTTGATCCAGGGGCACGTAGTCTCTTATTGTCGCCTTGCTCTGTTGATTACTTTGGGCGGCGACTGGAGACGCGAGGGCGAGACGCTCTCTCCTCTTTTCATACGGCTCCTAGTTGGAGCCTTTTGACAAACGTGTGATAGCTACAATACTGTCCCCTAATCAATTACTCTGGGATCTTCTACCGTCTCCGATTTCCACCGTCTACTAGAAAGCTCCACTCCGACTTCGAATGCAACTCCATAATAGCGACCGGCTCTGCACAGATAATACCTATCTACGTTAAAACCAAGATTTTTTGTTGGATTGGAATCTTTTAACATGCTTCTAATACGATGTTGGGTGATCAGAGTGTTAAAAGATTCCACTCCAACGGTGTTTGTACCTTCCATCTCGTCGTCCAGGAATTTGGCTTAACCAGAGAGAACAAAGAAGAGTTTCAACGGTTCAAATTGGTCGTAGTCATCGCGTCCTCCACGTTTTCCCAGCTTAAAATCTCTTTGATTCGACGTTTTTTGACACTTTGAATCCATGTAAAGCTTGCTTTCCTGAATATATTCGCCACCGAGAGGTATGGATTAAAAAAAACGAAATTCTCTGGACTCATGTTATAAATATCCTATATTCTTATTCTTATCCACACTATATAAGAAGGGAAATTATTATTATTTACTACATAAATATCTCCTACTTCTCATTAAAGATTTGGAGACATAAAGTTTGTTAAAAGATCGAACCACCCCTTTCTCTCTCTGCTTACACTTTGGTCGAGAATGTCGACTATTACACTTGAACCCTTCTTCCACCAGCGTTGCAGAGAAAGGTTGATATTTCGTCTGAAACCGAAGAAAGTAAAACCATCTCGTTTGGGTTTCTCTCCCACCAAGCCGTTTTGCCACGGCAGGAACTTCTGCAACTTCAAACCTCTCAGGGTTCATCCAGTTAGAGCTGGCAATACTGATACTGCTCTCATGGACGCTTCTGAAGCGGCAGACGTCTTCTTTAAGAAGACCTTTCGGTTGAACCGAACCCAAACGGTATTTTGTAAATGATGTCATCGTCTTATATGTCACGTAGTAGTTTCCCTGTTTTCATGTTTGAATTTATGGGCGTTTCATCAATGGCAGCTGGAAGGTAGGATCTCGGTGAAGTTGGATCCAGGGAAAGATAGAGAGAATTGGAAACTTACAGTCGGATGTAATCTTCCTGGGACGTGGGTCTTGCATTGGGGTGTCAACTATATCGATGACGTTGGCAGGTTTTCTTGCCTAACTGTCAATTTTCTCCTTCTTTTTCCCGTTCTGGTTTATTCTTTTTACTGGCAAAGCCGTCTTTGTTTATTCAAATATGCAATTTTGACATTTTTCCAATATATCATAGAAAGAAAAAATTAAACAGGACGAGGCGATTGGGCGGAGAAACATGAAGTAAATTGAGTTGCATCTCGTATGATTTTGGTTTTTACGCTTTCATATAATTTCAAATTGGATTGTAATGAGTGGTAACGGTGCCTCCTATTATATTATAACTTTTGCAGTGAATGGGATCAACCTCCGCCTGAGATGGTACCCCCTGGATCTATTTCCATTAAGGTATTTATAGTAACTCTTGGATTTTGATATTGCTGGATTAACTTTCTCTATGCATTGTCTTCTTAAGTACATATTGCTTTGGTATTTTTAGGATTATGCAATAGAGACACCCTTGAAGAAATCATCATCTGCTTCAGAAGGAGAAACATTCCACGAAGTGAAGATCAATTTTAACCGTAACAGTTCTATTGCAGCGATAAATTTTGTTTTGAAGGTTGCATCTTTCCACATTTTGCAGTCTGAAATATCAGTTCTCTGTTTTGTTTTTGTTTGTTTTTTTTGTTTTTTTTTTTCCGATTGGTATATTAGTTCTTTCTAGCAAGTATCTTTCCTTGTGGCCATTTTGAAATGCTTATGGTAGTATATCCATATTTAGAAGTTTTCTATATGGGGATTTTGGGTGCAGGATGAGGAAACTGGAGCTTGGTGTCAGCACAGAGGAAGAGATTTCAAGGTGCCTCTCACTGATTACCTTCATGAAGATTCCAATCTTATGGGTACAATAAAGAGCTTTGGTATATGGCCAGGTTGTATAGATTTCCATATCTAGTGATCTGCTAAATTTTCATTTTTTTTTTCATGCTTGCCCTCTTCAATATGTTGCTTACTTTTTTCTGCTGGTTTTGGCGTCGTACTGTATGGGGAAGTAAGGTTCCTGCCTTGATATCTTAAGACATTAATATTCAACCATAAAATTGTATCAAGTATCACTACTGTGTCATGAATGATATTTTGACTAATATAAGATGTTTTGAATGTGACTTTGGCTTCATCATTTAATACCAATATTTCTCTATTTCTGATTGGATGCTATAGAACTTGCATTTAGGCATATAATTTTCTTATGATGGGTTTTATCATGCTATCATTACATGGGTTCCAGCTATATTCTATTGAAGCTTAATATTCCCCTCACACTTCTAAGCCATGGCATTCCTGCAGATCATCATACACAGTTGAATTTTTTATTACCCTGATGTTAAGCCGTATGTTCAGTCCATGCCTAGTAGAGTAGACCAACCATCATTGAGCAAACAATGCTTGGTTAAAAGATCACCAGGTGGTTGGTATCAACTCGTCAGGTTCTAGCTGATCTGAGAAGTGCCTCAATGATTGAACAAAATATGGTTAATTCTTGGTTAATTAAATCACCAGACGGTTGGGATCATGCCTTCAGGTTCTAGCTGTTTTTTTAAAGGTTCTAGCTGATCAAAGAACTGGTGCATATGCATATGCAAATTACTTGAACTTTATGAATTTATAGGCATTGGTGCATATGCAAATTACTTGATGGATAGAAATGTTTTATGTATGCTGTAGATATATGGATACTTTCTAGTTTCTGAAGCAAATCAATCTGTTCTTCATGCAAGGTTTCAAAAGGCTAAAGGCGTTGTGAGGTGTAAGCCTCAAAGATTAAGAAAAAAAGTAATTAAAATTTATAAATGATAAAAATAAAATGTAATATACCAAGTTAGAATGATGGAAGGTACAAATATCCATAAAATAGAAGTTTATAAGCAATAAGTTTTAACTTTTAAGCATTAAAGAAAATAATAATTAATCATCTAACAATTATAAGTATTTTACATTTTATGTTTCAAAATGCAATCTTACGAAATTATTCATATGAAAAATCATCTATATAATGGGCATAGTTTTCAAGGCACCAAGGCGAGGCTAGGCGACTAGGGGGCACCTTGTCGCCTAGTCGCCTAGGCGATGGATTTTTTATGTTAAAAATATAGATCATAGGGTAGTTCCCTAGGTACCATAACCATATTTCTTTAATAATTATTCATGATTTTCATAAGAAAAGTATAAATTTCATATTAAAGTATAGAAAATCAACATATTCATGAGAAGAAAAGGAACAAGGAAAATAAAATTCAAAAAATATAGGGGCTGAACCCTTATTTTTGTTATAGGAAAAGAAGAAAATAAAAAGTATTGGTAGTAGTAGTAGTAGTAGAAGAAGAAGAAGAAGAAGATATGGAAGAGGAAAATGTGCTGATTAGATAAAATTTTAAGTTCTTCCTTACTTATTGGTTCAGGTTTAAAAGTCTTTGAGGGTTCAATACAGCATTTAGCAATGTTTGTGTTGATTAAACCCTAATAAATAAGAAAATAATAAAAAGAAATTAGTATATAAACACACAAAATGATTATTTTAGTTTAATAATGTATATTTTATAATTATAATCTCAAAAAAGAATGAATAAAATAGTATTTTATAGTAGGAAGTAGAAAACTGCYAGGCGGTTAGGCGAGGCGAGCCTCAAAGGGTGCCTTGTCACCTTGACAACTATGATAATGGGCATCAGATTTATGGTCATCCAACAGTTGTGAAGAAAAGAAACAATGTAGTTGATTTGATATATGCAAAAAAAAAATCAATAAAAAGAAAAATAAATCCATTAGGAAAAGGAATGAGAAAAACAACAAACTTGGGATGTTAAATTAGAATATTAAGAAAAAAAATTCCACTTGATTTATCCAAGAAAACTAATAACTCGATTGTCYCTTTTTTTTGCATTGAACACTCTTAGGCGAAAATACTAAGAGAAACTAATGGAACTTGATTTGCCTTATTGGTTTTTCATTTTTACTCTTTTTATTTAGGCCTTAATTATTAAAGTGCTTTTTCTATATATTTTGAACTATAAAAAATACATAAAAATATGTATATTTTTTGCATGAAATCACTAACTAATGTTGATATTTGAGGCTTACACCTTTTTACGCCTCACGCCTTGAGGCTTGAGGCTTATGCCTCATTCTGACAAAGGCTTAATCCTCAAACCAAAATTGTGAGGCTTAAGCCTTGAGGCAAAATCTGAGTGCCTTGCCTCAAGGCGTACACCTCATGCCTCAAGGCTTAAGCCTTTTAAAACAATGTCTTCATGTATTTGCCATATCCTTTCCTTGTTGATCTGATATTTAAGAGTCCTAGATGTGTAAATTGAAATATAAAAAATCTACCTCTTCAATTGCAGGAGCTTTGGGCCAAATATCTAACATTCTTCTCAAGTCAGAGAAACCTAAGGGTGAGGAAGATACTGGTGAAACAAATGAAACTAAGAAGCAGAATAAGTGTCAGGAARGATTCTATGAGGAACATTCTATCTTCAAAGAAGTTCCTGTTCAGAACTCTTTGACTGTTTCTGTTAGAAAATGCCCTGAGAAGGATAAGAATCTTGTTCATTTAGATACCGATCTACCTGGGGATGTTATTGTTCACTGGGGTGTTTGCAGAGATAATGACAAAAAGTGGGAAATTCCAGCAGCTCCACATCCACCTGAAACTCAAATTTTCAAGAGAAAGGCTTTGCGAACCTTGTTACAGGTACAGAAGTGGAAAATATTTTGACCAATACTTTGAAACTAAATAATATCCTCCATTGAGTCTTAAGCTAGCAATTATTGAAACAAAATTTAGTAGAGAGAAACCAAGAAGTTTGGACCTTTGTATGGGTGTTGAATGTTTTGTGAACCCCATGTTTTTCCATCTGTTCATGTGGGCTGACATTACATCACAACTGTAAAAGTTCATGCTGAAGTTTGCCTGAACAAGTTTGTACGACATAGTTACATGATACTATAGGAAGAGAGAGGAGGAGAGAGTGATGTGCAACTATAATATCTCATTTTCTTTAGGCTAAAACTTTTAAATAAATACAAGGTTACTATACTTAATTAATCTAATATTATCAGTTATAAATTGTTTTAGTTCTGTACTGTTTGCATTAATCTAGGATTCTACATTTGTTGTCCTCTGTTCCATCAACTATTACATTATGTAGAAGAAGAAATCGATTAAAAAATTAGCAAGCACCCACTGGATTCCTCAATCCTGTTTACCATGCTTGTCAAGTTGAAGACAAGGTATCTATGTCAAATTGCAAGTTTGCAACACTACCTGCATGGCTGCATCCATTTGGACTGGATGGTCACCAATTGGACAAACAAAATATTAGGTCCCTTGGTACCTGGATAGATGTACATGGGGCCTATATCACGCTGGATACTTAACCTTCTTAGTTAAATCTGTCTCCAACACCTTGTCCTGATATGCCTTGCCACAACTGCGTAATATGGGCTAGATCACTCTTTGGATTGGCCCCAACTGAAGGTTCATGACATTTGGATCATCTGGTTTTCCAAATTATTCACTGCCATGATGTCTTTGATCGTGTGCATGCCATTTTCTTTTGAGCAAGGTAAAGCATATTCCGTTCATGAAAATCAAAATCCTGTGTACAAAAAGATTTTATACAATGAGATGTACAAGTATCTGTATACATGTTTTCAAAAACCAAAACTGAGCTGTGAGTGCAACCAAAAAATTCTTTATGTACCAAGCTCTAAGAAATTATAGTCCCCACTGTTCTAGCAGGCAATTCCTCCTCACTCCCAAACATATATAAAAAGATACAAGCATTGCTTTCCTTCCATATGTTCCAAATCATTCAGATGGAATAAAATTAGAAACCACCTTCCCTTTCTTTGATAGGCCCCTTAGATTCCAACTTAACAATAGTGAACCCAACCTGTAGGGGAAACAGCCCAACACTTCAAACAAGCTGACAAATCTTTCCCACACAATACATTTTCTTTTAACACTTCATTTAGATGGCTAAGATCATTATGCAAACCTGGTTCTGGGTATTCCTAATCAAAGTTTTGACACAGCATTTTGTGGGTTCAATTAATTGTCGTGTGTGCTACATCTTTGACATTTGCAGGAAGATTTTGCTTTTCTCTTCTTTCACTAATAGAATAGCTCTTTCATTATCTAATAGTGAAAACAAAGGAAATGACTATTATATATATATATATTCTGCACATGCAATAAAGAGGATATGTATCCTAGAGGCTAAATTGGTCTACATGTTTTGATCAATAGAATATGGATAAGGTCATATATCTGGCTCTCCTTATTTGACTAAGGGTTGTTTATATACATGTATGTCTTGACAACTGACCCCATATTAGTAGGGGACTTGAAAGCAGCATGGGAATAATCGTTTATAATATTCCTTGGGGCCATTTTCTCAAGATGTATTTCACAGAACAAAATGTGACTTCCCTGAGACAATCATGTTCTGTTAAGGAGCATTACTAAAAAGGGCCATTACCCAATGTTGCTCCCAGCCATCCAGGATCTTGGGAGGTGTGGACTGGAGATGGACCTGACCTTTGACATTTTTGTTGCACAAGGTGGATACTCTTATACTTGTCAATCTTACCATTGCACTAAGCAATAGCCTAAGTTCTTCACCAAGGAGAGTTCAAGCAAAGCCATTTAACCTTTTAGGACTGTAAAATACCACCACGCTTCTGCAGCTGACATCTCAGCATCTTCACTTTGAGAAGCTCTCACTCTTGTGGCAGGTAGCCCTTTTTCTCTAACAGCTTTTACTCGGYGCCAGGTAGCCCTTTCTGTGACAGCTATCACTCTGCTCTAGGTAGCCCTTTTTCTGATTCAAACTTGAGACATGGCGGTAGTCTCTGATACTATTTGTTACATACCAATACATGAAAAGCCTTAAGATTACTGGAACGCGTCAAGCCAAGCTGTTTAACCTTTCAGGACCGTTGCGTAAACTTTTGTTTTTCTACATTTACTTTATTTTTACTTGAACTTAACTCAAAATTTCAGTACTAATCCTGATTTTTTTTTGTGACATTTTCCTTGCAACATTGTCTAGTAGTTCATTATGTACTTTTCTTCTTTTGCTATGGGATTTTTCATTTGGGATTAGTTGCAGCTATTTAAATATCTATTACCTGGACCTGTTTTTGCAGCCAAAAGAAGATGGGCATGGATGTCTGGGACTATTCTCTTTGGATAAGGAATTTACAGGTTTCCTTTTTGTGCTGAAACTAAATGAGAACACTTGGCTGAATGATATGGGGAATGACTTTTATGCTCCACTTCCAAAAGCCAATGACTCTCTTGTGCAAAACACTCGGGTTCAAACTGAAGTTATTAATGAAGGGTCTGAACCAAGTACAGCAGGCATATCTGAAAAAACAACAGAGGCTGATAAGGTTGTTGTTCAGGGTGGTTATACTGATGGTATTATCACTGAAATAAGAAATCTGGTAAGTGATATCTCCGCTGAAAAGAGTCTCAAAACAAAAACCAAAGAAACACAGGAAAGCATACTTCAAGAAATTGAAAAGTTAGCTGCTGAAGCCTATAGTATCTTCAGAAGCTCTACTCCAACATTTTCAGAGGAGGAAATTTTAGAAGCTGAGAGATTGAAGCCTTCTCTAAGGATATGCCCAGGAACAGGCTCAGGATATGAAATACTATGCCAAGGATTTAACTGGGAATCTCATAAATCTGGAAGATGGTACATGGAGCTCAGTGAAAAAGCCACCGAACTATCTTCACTTGGTTTCACTATAATATGGTTACCACCACCAACTGAATCCGTTTCCCCACATGGTTACATGCCAAAGGATTTATACAACCTAAACTCCAGGTATTCCTAGACAATACACTAAGTTTTTTTTTTTTTTTTTCCTTAGCATATTTATATACCTCCACCAATAGCTTTTCATCATAATCACCACAGTACTATAGTTCTGCATATCAGTTATTAGCATTCCTTTGGATTCAAAACTGCCAAAAGAGCATTATTCTGATCCTTTGGGGAGCTAAGATATTTTATCTCCCCTCCTTTGTATTTTAATCTCTTATATTAATGAAATGTTTCCTGTTATTGATAAAAAAATGTATTCAAGGCACCAAGGCAAAGCTAGGTGACAGGGGAGAACCATAGTTTTCAAGGCGCCAAGGCAAGGTTAGGCGATAGGGGGGTGCCTTGTCGCCTAGTCGCCTAGGCGATGGGTTTTTTTAAGTAAAAACATGTATCCTATGGTAGTTCCCTAGGTTCCATAATCATATTTCCTTAATAAATATCTATAATTTTCATAAGAAAAGTATAAACTTTTTTTTTTGATAAATATAAGAAAAGTATAAACTTCATATTAAAGTTTAGAAAATCAACATATTCCAACATATTCATGAGAAGAAAAAGAAGAAAGAAAAGAAAATAAAAAAAATATAGGGGCTGAACCCCTCTTTCTGTTATAGGAAAAGAAAAAAAGAAAAGATGGAAGAAGAAGAAGAAATTAGTATATAAACACAAAATTAGTAAAGAAAATTAAGAAAATGTGTTGATTGGACAACATTTTGTGTTCTTCCTTGCTTATTGGTTCAGGTTTTGAAGTCTTTGAGGGTTCAATATAGCATTTAGCAATGTTTATGTTGATTAAACCCTAACAAATAAGAAAATAATAAAAAGAAATTAGTATATAAACACACAAAATGAATATTTTAGTTTAAAAATATCTATTTTATAATTATAACCTCAAAAAATTAAGAATATAAAAGTTTTTTATAACACGCTATAGAAAACTAATTGGCGATTAGGCGAGGTGAGCCTCCAAGGGCACCTTGTCACCTAGGCGTCGCCTTGACAACTATGGGGAGCACCTTATCGCCTAGTCACCTTCCTAGGCAATGAGTTTTTTAGGTTAAAAAAATATAAATCCTACGAGTAATCCCTTAGATTTCATAGTAATAAGTAGGGCTGCAAATAAGTTGGACCTGATCCGATTAGAATCCGAATTCGATCTGATAAGAGCCAGATTTAGATACCTCCCTTGATCCTAACAAATCGGATCAGATCGGAAAAGTCGATCCATTTAGTTAACGAATCAAATTTGAATATACCCCAATCCGATCCGTTAGTTATGAAATACTATATATTATTTATATAATTATATGTTATATATTTTATATTATAATATATTATTATATTTATAAATAATATGTTATATTATTTATATTATATCATCAAGTTTTTTTAGTACATGTCTATTCAAATTGGATATCCGATAATATATTCGAATTCGACTCATGCTCTTGAAAATCCGATGGATTCTTATTAGTCAGATTTCTTAACGGATCGGATCGGATATACCCTTAAACAAATCTGATCCGATCTGTTTGTAGCCCTAGTAATTTTTTTGAAGGTAAAAAGAGAATTCATTAAAAAAGGAAAAAAGATTACAATCTAGAAGGTGATAAGGAATCGCCCGCAAACAAAACAACAAACCAGAAATGCTAGGGAGGAGAAATAAAATAAGCTATCCAAGATACAAGATGAAACTCCCACAATATCTCCCCAATTGTTCCCCAAACCTTCCTAGAAACTTGATCAAGTGGGAGCAGGTTAGTAAACCCAAGGAACAAGGGGGGTTTAGGAATTGAGAACATCCTTTTAAGGAACACAACTCTACTAGGTAAGTGGTTTTGGAGGTTTCCCTCCGAGGGCGATAGATTGTGGCACAAAGTGATTGAGAGGATTCATGGGGTGGCTGGAAATGGCTGGGATGCAAAAGTTTCCCCTCACAGTTCTTCAGCTTCTCCTTGGAAAGCAATTCATGAAATCTACCCTACTTTCCTCAATTCCATCTAGTTCGATGTGGGACAAGGTACTAGAATTTTGTTTTTGGGAAGATCTATGGGTAGGGGAAGACCAATTCCCTGATCTTTTTGCGCTATCTAACCTTAAGGGGGAAGCTATGTCCATGTTGGGATCACCTTGTCCAAACGGTGTGAACTAGAATTTGGGCTTTAGAAGGGGACTAAGGGAAAATGAGTGTGAATCTTTAATCCTTTTGCTGGACCTCCTAGGTCTAATCCACCTGGACCCTTTGTTGGAAGACTCTAGAATCTGGGTAGGCTCTCTAGGTGGCCTCTTTTCTTGCTCCTCTTTCTTCAAAGTACTTGCTTCCCCCAACCTTCTAGGTGGGATTTTCCCTGTGAAAGAAATTTGATTCAAGCCTATTCCCCCCGAAGATCCAAGCCTTCTGTTGGGAAATATTCCTTGTTAAAGTAAACACTTGTGATATGCTGCAGAAAAGAAGGCCATATATTTGCCTTTCTCCTCATGTGTGTTCATTGTGTAAGGAAAGTGGTGAGACCCTTTCTCATTTAATGATATCCTGTTCTTTTGTGCATCGAATTTGGGAATTCTTTTGTACGCTCTTTGGCTGCAGGTGGGTTCCCCCTCAAGATGTGGCAGGACTCTTCAACCATGATTTCTTGAGACAACGAAAGAAAAGAGGGATGGTAATGTAGAAAGCAACAAAGGCAGTAATTTGCTGGGTAACATGGGAGGAGAGGAACAACAGAATTTTCTTGGAAAAAAGTAGAACGATAGAGGAAGTGATTGATAGTATCAAGGTGAAAGTAGCCCATTGTGTAAAACCCTTGGATAGCTTTCAAGTCTTCTTAGTCACAGACATTCTAAGAACATGGTCCAAAGTAGCACATTCTTCAAGAGTAAGAGATAAAGTAAGGCTGGAGTGGAAACCACCAGAAGGCAATAAAGTAAAGCTGAATTTTGATGGGTGCTCCTTTGGAAATCCAGGCATCTCAAGAATAGGAGTATTAAGAAACTTTGAAAGGAAGATATTGGGTATGTTCTCAGGACTGATTAGCAACAGAAACTCGCTGAAGGCTAAACTATTGGCATTACTACAAGGGTTAAAGCTAGCCAAACAACTAGGATGCAGACATGTTGAAGTCGAAGGGGACTCAAAAATAGTAATTTCATGGGCAGAAAATAGCAGCCATACCCCATGGACGTTTAAACATGTGATTAGGGAAGTGGAGAAGATTGCAAAGGAGGTTGAGGCTGAATTTAAATGGGTCCGAAGAAGTGCAAATGGGCTAGCTGATGGATTAGTAAAACAGGGGGCATTGAGACAACAATTATTTGGGCTGCACTGTAATGAGGGATAGAATAGAGTGATTAAAGGGGATCAACAGTCCCATCACCAAGTTGTATAAACTGCTTACAATCTGAATTTTAGTAAAATACATATTTACTGATAAAAAAAACTTGATTAAATTCTAGAGATGACGAAATCCAAACTGAATTGATATGTTAACAACTGCCTCAATCTTGCCCAGATACCAATACTTGTCTTCAAAAATTCTTTGATTCCTTTTCTTTCAAAAATTCCAGCAACCTACAAATGGGATACAACTCTAGAGCAATCTAACTTACTTGCTTCCCCTCAACTTTGGCCATGAAGGCAAAATTTCTGCAGCAGATTCTGGCTGAAAGCATGATATTCCAAACTTTCATGCTTCCTCTCCCCAATCCCCCCCCNCCACCCCACCCCACTATTAGCACCCCACAAAACAATCTTTAGTTTCAATTCAAACACCTCCAACTTCGATTCCTGCAGAAGAATTACATCTGGTACAAACTTTTCTTAATACAACCATGACTATTATTTTTCTTCCTTCTTATCTCAGCCCCCTCACAATCAGTGATTTAAAAGGTGTCTCAGGCATACCTAGGCGCAGTCCTTTCAAAAGGCGCATGCCTGGTGCACCTAGGCGTGCTCCTTTTGAAAATTTCACATTGTTTTGCTTTTTTTAAACCTAGCAGGCCGGGGGCAGAGCTTGCCTATCGCTCGCTTCACTTGCTCACCAAAGCTCTGAGAACCCCCTATTTGCTAATGTTCATTCATTCATCCTAATAAAATATCTTTTTAAAAAGCAATTAAAATTATAAAATCATTATTTTTCTGTTAGAATTAAGAATTTAAGACCCTAACATGGACTTGTTTGGGCTTGCCTCGAGGGGCATGGCACAACGAGGCAAGCCCAAAGGCAGCTCATAGAATCAGGAATGTAATATGTTTTACATCACATTAGCTATTTGAAGTATTGCAATTGAGGGAAAAAAAGATTGTAGGTTTTAAATGCTTGAAAATCTTATATATGTATTTTAATTTTAGATAATAGGTTTTTTAAAACATTTATTTTAAAATTTAAGTTTATATTTTTTATTAATATTATGTTTAATATTTTTTATTTTTTGGCATTTTTTTGAATTTTCTGACTTTTTTTTTGTATTTTTGTGCCTTGTGCCTCAGGTGCAAATTGGCCCCTGTGCCTTTTCTGCGCTTCGCTTTTAAAACACTACTTACAATCCAAGAAAACAGAATCATTCTCTGACACCTCTCTCCCCTTGAACCCCCAAATTGTGGCTACACCTGTCACTCCTCATCAACGAAACCATCTTCCCTCCCTTCCCCTTCCTCCCACACCTCTCCCCCTCCCCTGAAACAATTCTTTTTTTTTAAGTTCTTCCCTTCTATTTTTCTCGAACTGTTCTATGGCTCTCCTTACTGTCCCTTCCCCTCCCAGGAAAAACAGCCCGAGAGATTTACCTACCTTCACCTATCTCTCCACCAAGCTACCAATATCTACCTTCCCTCTCTCAAAACATTCTTCCCCTTTTTCTTTCCCTTCTTCAACCTCTTCTGAAATTTCTCTTCCTTCCCCCAGCCCTTTACCACCCTTCAACTCTGAATTCTCCCTCATTTCATACTTTCTTCTCCCATTATACACTTTGTTAGCTTCTCCCCCAGACCTCCTCCTCTTCCATCTAACTCCCTTCCCTCCCACATCTTCAGTCTCCCTGCCCACACCAGTTCCAACAACCTTTGAGATTCCAGCTCCAAGAGAAGAAGAAGGGGAAACAGGAACTGCAGAGGACAGGGAGGAGGGGGAAGAAAGGATTTCCAAACTTTACCTCCACGGTGGGGATAACAAAGGGAGCCTTGTTTTTCACTCCATCCAGCCCAGAAGGGAACCCATAGTCCTCCTTTGAAGTTCCATCGTTTGTAGCCCTAGTAATAGCAGTACTCTTTAACTAATAATTACCATACTCTTCATGGAATAAGTATAAACCACAAATCAAAAGATAGAAAATCAACATATTTATGAGAAGAAAAATAAGAAAGGAAAGAAAGCATACAAAACATAAGGGTGAGCCTTGTTTTGGTCCTAGGAAGAAGACAATCATGATGAAGAAAAAGTCCTATTGATTGTTCTTGTGTGTCAATAGGATAAAATGTTCAACTTATTTCTTACTTGTGAATTTAGGTTATAAAGTCTTAAAGGGTTCAAGACTATTTCACTGACTTAGTGACTTGTGTGTCGACTGAACCCTAACAAATAAGAAAATAATAAGAAGAAACTAGTATAAGAATAATAATGCTATTACTATAAACCCACAATATGAATAATTTAGTCAATTAATATCTATTATACTACTATTAATAACACAAAATAAAAATATAAAAATATTATGTGGTATCTTGCATATAAATATGTAAGTGTTTGGGCGAGGCGATCCTCAAAGAGTGCTTTACTGCCTAGGTGTTACCTTGACAACAGGCCTATTCTTTATATACTAGAGACTTTTTTTTTTTTTGAATTTGGGTCCTTGAACTGCCACTATTGATGGTTGCTTGGTTGGATATTTTGGCAAATAATTTGATACCAAAAACAAATTTCGACTCTTAAGATCAAGTTCATCAAAGCTACCTTACAAGATGTCTGATTTCATCACAAAAAGCTACATCTATGCGAATCATGCAATTACTATATTTTTCATTCATTATATAGATTTGAAAATTTATCTCTGTTTTTTTTTTATTTCTTTTGAAGGGGCTACACAACAGGGGGTAGCCCATCCCCCAACCCAGGTGCAGGTGGGATTCAATCCCAAGTCTCCACTATGACCAGCAGGAGACCTTACCAACCCACTGGTTGGCACCTTGCAAAAAAAAAATCTCTTGATATACTTTATTGGAGTAACACATAGAAATATAAGGAGCAAAGCTGAAAAGGTAGAATACTGACTACTTTTTTATAGTTTTGTCCCAAGAATATGAGCACCATTGTGAAAATACCTTATTCACTTATGATTAAAAGTACAATTATTTTCATTATGGTTATTTGAATTCTCTTTTATGTTGGTTTCTTATCCTTCTTATGACCAAAGTTTCTGATGTTTCTACTCTCTCATGAAAGAATTTAATCTAGAATTTTTTAAGGAGTTCCTTTTCTTATATAGGAGCATATATGTGAAGAAACTCATATGTAGGACTGACTCTATCATGCAATATGTTATGGTAGGTCAGTTAGTTTTAACACCTGGTAATTTTAGAACTACCAGATGTCTTCTAGAAATAATATAATTTTGGGGATCCATACAAGTTTTGATACACCCTAGAGATCACTGGTTGATCAATCCTTGACATGCTTAGATTCTAATCTTCATCCATTCTGACCCTTTTTTCTTTAATTTTTTCCATGGAACTAAAACAGGACATGCATATTCTGAATTTATGATAGCTATATCCTATTATCATATAAATTCATATCGATTTTTTATCATTCTATATACCAGATATGGAAGTATGGAGGAATTAAAATTAGTTGTGAAGAATTTCCATGAAGTTGGCATCAAAGTTCTTGGTGATGTTGTCTTAAACCACCGCTGTGCCCACTACCAAAATAAAAATGGAGTTTGGAATATTTTTGGTGGTAAGTTGAATTGGGATGACCGTGCTGTGGTTTCAGATGATCCGCATTTCCAGGTATGAAATCTTTCTTTCATGTATCAGTTTCTCAATGAGAAATCAAGTGATATTAGTCATCAAGTTGAACAGGATATGGACCTAATCATTGACATTTTCTTGCATGAAGTGGGCACTCTCAGAATCAAACCTACATTCTTAAACTGGTCAGCCTGAGGTTTTATGAGTCACCAAGGAATGACCCCTGTTGAATTTAGTAGTATTAGTTAGAAAATGAAAAATCAAAAGCTCAATGTTTCAAGTTCGGAGATTAATTGAAGCATTTTTTACAGAGATCCCTATCTATATTGATGCAAGTTGACAACTGTTCATTACCAGTAGATTTAGACTACATATTATTCTTCATGTTAGAGTGATCTATGGGTTCCAGACTTCCAGTTTCACCAAAAAGTTAAATTTTCTGATCTAAGCTCATAAAGTATAAAATTAAGAGAGAGACATATTAATGTGGAGTATTTTCTACCACCTATTTATCAGTATAAATCTAGATGTTAGAGAACACTATATTTGTAGATGAGCATCAAGTAAACAGCATAAAATCATTGTGACTGATCTAACAATGCACAGAGAAAACCAACAACTCATAGAAAATTCTATAGTGATTGGATTAACTAATCTTAATGAACATAGAAAGAATGTGGGTAGTATGTAAAATGCAAAGGTCTGATAAGCCTCCATTTTCTTTGTTGTAGTTCTTATAATTGAAGCTGGAACTCTGAACCTTAGGTCTCCAGTATGAACCTGTTGATGGAGAAAAGACTCTTTCAAAATGGAATTCGTCTTTCTTTCTAATGCCATTTATATTCACCTTTATCTAACTCCCCTGCCCGATTATTAATCATAAATGTCACATTCAGGTTAAGCGAATCAGGTAACTGATTCTRGTTTTAGTTGCCATGGAGAAGTATGTGTGTGTGTATATATAGTGATCATTTAGTTAGCTGCACTATGTCGCCATGATGTCCAGATGGACCTTCTCTCAGTTGAATACTTGAATGTCTCAAAATAACGTGGGAGAAACAGAAAAGGCAAAAATTATATATAAAAGAAGAATACCTATCTAGTTTTTAGTTTTGAAACAGTCTAATTCTTTTCTATGCCAAGCACTGTTTATCATGTAGGCTCTATGCTAAACATTTGTTTTCTTGCTTGATTAATGGACCTTGTAGTGCCAGACTAGCACATACATTTTCAATTGCTGTACGACCATAAGCATCTCATAGTCATCGCTGCTGGCATCATGAAAGGTTGTAACATGGTGGCCTTAAATTACAAGAAGACAAGACTTAATACTCCTATCCCTTGTATTTGTACGGAGCTCTCTGTTTACAATTTATCCACTGTGTGATTCAAAGGATCTGCTGCCATGTTCTCTATGAAACTAGCATTGCTCATATTATTTCTAGAGATTCAGTTTGATAGTTTCTGGGAGATCATCTCATGTTCTTCTGTACCTTGTCCACTATGCATTTCATTAAATTTGGCCTGGTAGTTCGGCAGGTTACCCTCATGGATCAGGCAAAGTCCAAAATTACATCTTTTGGATATCCAAGTAATGTCATCCTAGTTTTGAAGGGATAATGGTGCCATTACAAAATATTTAGATAGAAATCCATTATTGGAATTGTTTGGTTCACTTGAACGATTTTGTATGAGGAGCAAGTTTCTTGTTCCCATTTCATAGTTTATCCACTTTGCAACTTTAAGGGATGCCTCTAATTATATTTTGTAGTACAAATTTCTATCTTCAAACTTAAGTATTTTACATGCTACATGCCCTCCATTTTTTTCTACAGGGCAGGGGAAACAAGAGTAATGGGGATAACTTCCATGCTGCTCCAAACATTGATCATTCACAAGAATTTGTGAGGAACGATCTGAAAGAGTGGCTTTGCTGGCTGAGGTTTGACATGACCCAGATTTCTTTATTGTTGTACCCCTAGGAGTTCCTTTGATGCCGAATATGATAGACTTGTAACTTTTCTTTTTTTTTCTTAATTTGCAAAAGTCAAATTTATTGGAAAAAAATATTTGTTTAAGGGTTTGGTGTTTATTATCATTTAGAAGTCTAGATCAGGGTTACAGTCCTTTGTCTAGTCAAATCACTGAGTGACCATCATCTTGCCATAACTTAAAATTTGAATAAACAACGTAGAAATAAAATAAGAAAATTTGGAAAACTGAGGAGCTTGCTTCTTCATAAGATGGGCCCGATGTATTTATTATGCTAATCACCTTTTAAAGCATTCAAAGCTACTTGAAACTCCCTCAATCAAAACCCCTAGTACATATATAGCTGATTTTTTTTTTTTTTTTGGATAGTAAATATATAGCAGAAATCAAGTAAAGCAATTAGACCCTATTTATCTGTTTCTTTAAGAAAAACAGGAGATGATGCTCTTTACCTGTCAGTGATGAATTTGGATGGGGAAAACTTGGACCGATATGATTGTAATTCCATTAGCATGTCAACCATCAGAACAGAAATTTGAAGGAATGCATTCAGTTTAGTATGTCAAGCCACTAGATTTATTTACGAATTCAGTGCTTGGAATTCCATTAGTATGTCAACCATTAGAACAGAAATTTGAAGGAATGCATTCAATTTGGTTGCATTGTTATGTACATTTAATGTTTTTTTTTTTCAATTGTGACTCCTAAATATGCAACTCATCACCTAGTTCTGGTCTAAGCTATTCATGGACTGAATATGGACCTTATCTCTAACTCATCACCTAGGAGTAGCTCCAATAGGTGATGAAATGAAAGAAAGTAGACTAGGATGGTTTAGTCGCATGCATAGAAGACCATCTACAGCACCTGTTAGAAGAAGTGATCTGTTGCAAGTTGAAGGGGCTAGAAGGGCTATGGGCCGAATAATAAAATGGACATGGGTTGAAGTAGTAAGAGATGATATAAACTCTCATAATTTAACAATGGATATGGCACTAAACAGAATATAATGACAGAACAGGATTCATGTAGCCGATCCCATATAGTTGGGAGAAGGCTTAGATGATGATGATAAAGTGCCTGTTCTCAGATTACTCCTAAAATACCAAGAGTCATAAGACAAACAGACAAAAAATGAAAACAAAATATGATGCAATTTTCTATGTCATATAAGCATTATGTGTTAAGATTGCACAACTAGAGGCCACCTTGGGAGTGAAGTATAATTGAGTTCCAAGGTCTGTCAACAGCATGGCAGATGGGTGGGCAAGGCAAGGTGTAAACAGAAATCAACTCTATTGGGAAATTGTTTCTCAGAGGGGCTCAATGTAATGGAAATTAGAAGGGCGGCTAGTGGGAACTGGACCAGTTGTTGGGGTGCCTGGGACACCATTGATGTAAATCATTCTTTCATTTAATTAATTAATAAAATTGCATGTTTATCTATAAAAAAATTGTGTTTATTATGTACATCAAAGAAAGGAGAAATTATTCTTGTTGCCCTAGAGACTTGAATTGTTCTCAAACATTGCTGGAATTGTTTTCCATGTTTTGACATCCTAGTAATTGGCAGTCTTCAATAAAATGTTTTAATTTATTTTGCATGATACTCTCAGCTGTGCTAAATATATTTGAAGTATCCAAGACAAAAGCTCCTCTTGTTCTTCGTTAAACTTTGAGATACATCCCCAAAAAACAAGGATGTAATGCTATTAAATATAAGAAATGAAAGTGTCAAAATACCCAACTGGACTGAACTTATAAACTGGAAAGAGGAAAAACAATGCTATTTATGGTGTAGTTTTTGTATCTGCTACCTACGTTAAAACTGAATACTGATTTTTATTCAATTAACATGTTCTAGTTTAAGATTATTCCTCCTCTCTTTTCTATGGTTAATGATTTTCACAAAATATGCTTGTGAATACACGACATGCAGAAAAGAAATTGGGTATGATGGATGGAGACTTGATTTTGTACGAGGATTCTGGGGTGGTTATGTCAAAGACTACTTGGAAGCAAGTGAACCCTACTTTGCAGTAGGCGAATACTGGGATTCTCTTGGTTATACATATGGTGAAATGGATTACAATCAAGATGGGCATAGGCAGAGGATTATTGACTGGATCAACGCTACTAATGGAACTGCTGGGGCCTTTGATGTCACTACAAAAGGAATCCTTCATTCTGTAAGATTAATTAGATGTTTTCCTGAAATTGTTTATGCAAATTTTCTCATATTTTTGGATTACTTGACTTATATGTTAAATAAAATCCTTTTTCTACTGTTACAATTAGAAAATAGTTAAAAAAGAGYTATTAACTGAGCGTTTCTACTCTTGTGCAACTATTCTTCTCAGTTTTCCCTAGTTTTCCCCTATGAATACAGTTAAGTCTAAGTTTCTGCTCAAATCTCTCTATACTACCAAATGGTTCCAGAAAAAATTTAGTGGAACTGTTAATTGTTCTTTGAATTCTTTATCCCCCACTCTAGATTGTATGTTGTTCTTAAATTGGGAAGTTTTTTTATCCTTTTGTCCTTTTTTTCTTTTCAATTGGGAAAAATTTATGCTGCTAGAAAGACATGATACTGAAAGGGTTTTGACCAATCAACTCCCCCCCCCTGGTGAACTTTGATAGATCCCACCTGATTGGTTAACACTTTTATGATACCAGTTGATTGGTTACAAGTTTTTCCAGTATCATGGTTGGACTCTTTCTTATAATATTTGAGTGATCTTTGCCTGCATCTACTCATGCATGGTGGAATTATGACTCATAAAGCCACTGCTCCCTGATTATCCACATTGGTTGTACCTGCTTGACATTTTGATATAGCAAAAAGGAGTATCAATATTCATTTCAATTCTTTCAAACAGGCTCTGGAAAGGTGTGAGTACTGGAGATTATCAGATCAAAAGGGAAAACCACCTGGGGTTATTGGGTGGTGGCCATCGCGTGCAATTACCTTCATAGAAAACCATGATACAGGTTCTACGCAGGTTTGGACTACTTTATGCTTTGTACTCTCTCACATTTGTTCATGTTGCTGTCTGTTCACTTTTTACTTCCCAAAATTTGTGGTTCATATAATCTTTTCAATCAGATTAGAACAGTGTTGTAGCACAATTTCATACATAGAAGAACTCTTTAGTTTAGGAAATAAGAAGCACTTAACATATCGAAACCAATGATTTATACATGAAACTTTTATATGTTAGCAAAGTAATGCTTACTGCTTGAAGTACACTATTCTAATTTATTTACTGGTCTTACATGAAATGTTTTTGAACTGAAGAACAATTAATGAAGCAGTTTTTGGTCCCCCCATGCCATATCATAGACATGCCTGCTCAATGGATTGATCCTGTTTACAATTGTTTCTTACCTAGCAAATAAGTGGTAGTTTCAAAAATTATAAAAGTGTTGCACTATCCTAATTATCAAACTATTCAAGGTTGGTTTTGTGCATTTTGTCTTATCCTGATGTTGGCATGGGCTGATCTATTTATCATATTTTTTATTAATTATTTGAATATGTTGTCCTTTTCAACTTTTGGTTAACTTAAAACGTGTTTTCAGATCTAGAAGACCATCACCACTGGTTGGTTTCTAAAAAAACACTGAATTGGCATTCTCTTTGTTCTGATTTCTGAAAGGGTCATTGGAGATTCCCAAGTGGAAAGGAGATGCAAGGGTATGCCTACATCTTGACTCACCCAGGAACACCAGCAGTCTTCTATGATCACATTTTCTCTCACTATCATTCTGAAATTTCAACGCTCATCTCCCTGAGACACCGCACCGAGATCAACTGCAGGAGTAAAGTATATATCCTACAACTCCAACTCACTTTCCAAAACTGTTTGTCTTTCTTTCTTTCTTTTTTTCTGTTGAATCTCACTTGTTTTCTTTTCATTTGAGGAGGGGGTGTTAGTTTAGGCAGACCCAGTTGGATATATTAAATCAAAACGTTCTATATGCACTCCATATGTTCTGTGTATAGAAATTTATGACTCATGCATGAAGAAGTCCATGTTACAGAAGGCACCATATCTTCTATTGGTACCGAATGGACCTTCCCATACAAGTGTAATTCATTGCAAATTTCAAGGGGCTATATGTACACGTATTCATCCACAATTTGGGACCCTGATGCTTTGCCATTTTAAATACAAGGATTCACYCTACAAGATCCAAGTAGGATCATGTGATGGTTTTGGAAATCCTTGTGTAGCCTTCAGTCTTGAACTCAACCCTTCAGTATTCCATCTGCCTTTTTCACATCCATTCGTGTGGAGGGACTGCATCTGCATCCAATGTCCTCTAGGATCTGCATTCCACAAGGAATCCTTGATTCTCATCATCATGTTATCTTAGGAAGCATCATGGCTTTTATCTTTGCTTGAAAGAATTAGCAGGCTGATGAATGTGACATATCCGTTTTGGACCTTATTTTCATTGTCAGATATTATCTTTCTGGCTGTTCAAAAACAATGCTACAAACTTTTTATGGTGAAGGAATAGACATTGACCCACTGGCTTCCTCAATGAAACCAATTGAACAATGGATCCATTTTGAATTTGTATGATGCCATTGCATAAGGAGGAAAAACAGTTTTTTCTATTCTAGTGCGGGTTATTCCCTTTATGAAATTGGGCCTGTATAATTTTCTGTCAACTTAAGACATCATGGATTATTAATGTATTGTTATTTGATGCTTCATCTAGGTTCAAATAACCAAGGCTGAACGAGATGTGTATGCGGCTATCATTGATGACAAAGTAGCAATGAAGATTGGACCTGGTTATTATGAGCCTCCTGGTGGTTCCGGGAGGTGGGTTTTGGCCATTGAGGGGAAAGATTACAAGGTTTGGGAAGCAGCATGAAATTAATGTCCGCAAAGTGAGCTGAAGCAACACCACGGAATATAATGATGATATGGGTGTCAATTGCGCAATATCCCACAACCGATACTGAAGTTTTGCTGATGTGAGGGGGGGAATTAAAATAAGAGCTGATTTATTGAGCCAATTTTTCATTTAAAGGAGCAGTTTGGTTCCTAAAAATAATTGTAGTGTAAATTGCACGGATTCAGGACTGGGAAAGAGAAATTTTTTGGGGTCTTACATTGATGCCATTATTTTCACACTGTAAAAATTGTGGAAAATTCTCTAAAACTAAAGATTACTTCAATGTATTGTGGACATTTTTTCGTCCCTGTAAATGAATGGTTGTCAACATGATAATGGTTTTCTTTGTCTTTTAATTGGTAACAAAAGGAGTTGGTGGACAAGTGGACATTTTGACATGAAAAGAAAACTTTTGATATACTTGTAGAACGCTCTGGTTTGCTCCAAGTTCTGTTATACTAGTTAGTTCTAGGCTTATGCGGTAAATCCTGAAAAACAAAGCATTGGTTCGTCTGATCTGACAAGTTTATACATCCAAGATCCAACCCGGGCAGGCAGCGCTGAAAACTTAATTACTTTGGAAGGGTAAAAAGGTTCGACCACCCCACCTGGTAGGCTGGCACTAGACAATCTTCTGGATGATCCTTTAATTCAGTCCAATTTTTATTGAAAATTATCTATAATACGATATCAACTCTTTTGCCTGAAAAAAAAAAATATTGAAAACTTATTGTTACTATGCTAGCTCAATTAATTACTTCCTACAAGGTTTGGCGTGTAAAATGAAATATGATTTGTTGATAAAAAAAAAGAGTAAAACKAAATATGATTTAATGGGTTACTTTTTACAATGTGCGGTTTGTACTTAAATCAGGTTTGTGCTTTCAAACTTAAAGCTGTTGACGTTTATGCCTCCCCCATAGAAAGGATTTTTACGTTTTAATTTCCAAGTGACAATCTTGAATAAATAAGTCATGAATTTATCAGGAAACTAGGAAAAATAAATAAAGAACTTTGTCAAATTCTTATTCTTCTTTTTCTTTGTTCATACACGTATCGTATATGCAGTGCAGAGAGAGACGGGCGAGTCCTGGGGCACAACAGCCATATATCAGTTTTTGGACTCAGTCTTGGCTTGAGTGGAGTTTGCGAGATATATACAACCCAACTGAAAAGGCCAACAGTGTGGCTACAATGACCCCCTTGTTGTTAACGATCATCTTCCTTGCACGTTCCATACAATCAACATCCAATACTCTCTGCTTCGCTCTCCTCTCTCCTATCTCTCCAACTCCAACCAATAATCCTTGCTTCTCCACACCGCTTCCCTTG